TGGGCGACTACAGCTACTACCAGAACACAGTGTGTATGCAGTGGTATTTCAGATTCTACATTCAATTTCATTTTAAATTTGAAATGGTTCATCTTCTGCCTCCTAAAAGTGATGATACGATTTTACTTTGATAAAAGACCGACAACTTTTTGCTCTACTTTGCATCGAATACGATCCGACTACAGTCACATAGTGCATGTGCAAGTCAAAAGTGGGTTAGAAGGTTAGTGACTTGGACAGGTTAGCCTAGGTTAGAAACACGTACCAAGTTATTTATTTGTCTCCGTCCGATTGTTTTTTTTATGGAATATACAAGTCTCTCTTGCATTACTTACAGTCAATATTTAAATACTACATACTTTTCACCCTCTCTTTATAATTTATCTAGTCAGTATTGTTTTTTTTTATATCATTATTTCTGTAATGAAATTGAAACGGTTATGAAATGAAATTTAAATTATTTGAACTCTTGGAGTTTTGTAACTTCAATATTAAATTTTATTTAAAGTGAAACAGAGCTAATTTCTTTGCAGCCATAATAGTCACATTTGGTCAGATGAAAACCTGCGCACTACTCGTCGGTTTAGCTTTCAGAGATTCAGTGTCAATGTATGGGCAGGAGTATATGGCGATCGTTTAATTGGGCCACATTTTCTACCTAAACATCTGAATGGGCTGCGTCACTTTCAATTTTTAGTGAAATTGTTTGAAAACCTTCCCCTTCAGATGTTACGAGATATGTGGTTTATATGCACGATGGAGCTCCGGCCCATTTTGCTTGTGATTTTTTTTAATCACGCCATCGTATTATACTCATTTTTCTCTATCTCCTCTTAAAATTAATGACATTATGACTGAATCACCCTGTATATTCTTTTAAGACTAGTGAAATTTCTTATAATCTTATTTATTTCTTACAAGCTTCCCTAGACATTCTTATGAATCCTGCAATAGCAATGTTACATTCCTTAGAGTGAACTTGCAAGTCTTGCTTGACCTGACCTTAACACCACCTAATCTAATCTAACCTCAAAAAAATTAGTAAATTCGGTTATTTGAAAAAAAAAAATATATAGATTTAACTTACTTGTTGTTGACCATGGGTAGTAACAGCATATGAATGGTTTCCGTGGAATACCCATAAAGAGGCAACCTTTTGTCTCCCAAGCCGCTGGTCTCGTACTTAGCTTTTATAGCCCTCCCTGCATCTAAATGAGCTTTCCTCAACTCCTCCATCGTAATCTTTAGCAATGAACAGCAAGAATATTAAAAGTTTGAAACATCTAACTAACCTAATTAAAAAATAAATTCCCAACAAAAAATTAGCACAAGATTTTCTACAAGCGGTGTTAAAGGCGAAGCTTTTTTTATTGAACAAATAATGAAAAGGAAGAGGTAACACAGAGTGCACAGAAATGGGGCCAAATTAATACCATAACCACTCCACTCACCATCTGAAGTTCGCCAATTCATGCAAGTAGACAAAAAAATATTTCGATTAATGATTTGTTACAATGATCAACAGGTGGACAGTGCACCACATGAATTTGGTTTTTGTTGTCGATATAAATTTTTTCATAACATTACCTGTTCTTTAAGCCATTCGGAATGTGGTCTGGACTTTGCAATCTCGTGTTTCAGTTCCACGTCCTGGATGACGCTTTTTTCTTGAGTGTCCACCAACAGCATTCTTCCGGGTTTTAGACGACTCTTAAAAATCACTTGCGAGGGGTCAACGTCATACACACCAACCTGAAAATTTTAAGCATATACAGAGAGGTAATATTACACTAGATACAAAAACATACCTCACTAGCCATTACCATCATATTATCTTTGGTAATGTAAAACCTGGAAGGTCTCAAACCGTTACGGTCCAAAATGGCCCCGATGAAACGGCCATCAGTGAAAGATATCAAAGCTGGACCGTCCCACGGTTCCATGATGCAAGCCGCCCAATGGTAATAGTCCCTTTTTTCTTCAGACATCGTCGGATCATTTTGCCAGGCTTCGGGAACCATCGTCATAACAGCCTAAAAATCAAAATTCAATGGATATGGTACATGATTAACGGTCATACCGACCTCTGGCAATTTCCTGTTTCCAGCATGGACCAGAAACTCCAAAACACAATCCGCAGAACCACTGTCGGATAAATTAGGTTCTACGACTGGATACAGGGTTTTCAATTTATTTCCAAAATCATCATTCTTCATTACTCCTTCTCGAGCTTTCATCAGGTTCACGTTACCACGCTGGGTGTTTATTTCTCCATTGTGGGCTAGCATTCTGCAAAAATAAGTTGTATTCATACAGTCTGGGCATACGTATGTTTCATTGTTATATTACAGTGGTTCTCCATCATTAAAAGCACTTTCGATAAATGTGTCAATTGTTTAATGTAATATGTGTTTATTGATGTTTGATAGAAATTATGACAAATGTTAAATACCTGTTGGTGTGTAACATTTTTAAATTTCTAAATGAATACACAAAAATTTTTTTTAAAAACCAATTTATACAAAATTATAAATTTATATAAAATTTGGGAATAGATGCGGCATGAGAAATGGTGTCAATATCATAAAAAAAATGTTTGTAAAATCCTTATAGTTTCCGAGAAAAAAATTATTGAAGTTGTAGTACTTTTAACTATTACATAGCTGGACAAATGTAATCTTTAGCGTCATTCGCAATACACATGAAGAGCCACGTGGCCTCAACGACTCTGAATACTAAAATCCAATTTTACAATGGTCGTTGCGATAGTGTTTACCATAGTTTTTTAGTAGTTAATGTCAAAAATGACTTACGTGTATAGCAACTTGGAGTTGATGGATATCATTTTAATTTATGGCAACAAGACAGTATTTGTATTATGGTGAAGCACGACAACATTTGTGTTAGTTTGTAGAAACTGAGTAAGACGGACCAAAACATGTTTACACTTTGGTGGACAAAATTTTGAACAGTTGTAACATTAGGTAAGTATGTCTTTATTTAAAACCACAAATAAATTTTTTTAAATTAATAATAATTGCGGCAAAAGCAGTTGAATTTGATGATATAAAATACGAACTATAAAATTATATTTATTTCTTTCCTTGCGAAATTCTTTGTCCGTTTTTATTAGTTTACACTCTGCCGCCATGCCGATCACATTGTGCGGGGTCAGGTTTTACAGTGGACCAGTTTCCAGTGCCGTGCAGAAGTATATTTTTAAACCATGTCGAACTGCCCTTTTTGATTTTTTCTTTGTGAATTGTATTTGTAAGTCCCCTGTCCATCCAAAAAAATTTTTTTTGGATAACTTCTGAATCACCCTGTATACAGTGTGTATGGTGTTTGCTGAGATCAAATTTTTACATTTTACTTTAATACGTTGTTTTCAACTCAAGCCCATATCAATTTAATCAGATGAACAGAGAACGTCATGCTGCTAATGTCTTTCTACCCCGTGTATCGAATGTGGTTAATTCCAAGAAAGGGACGTAAGGGAATTCTTGGAATTCTATCTCAATAAATATCGTGCCGACTGTATATACTATTGAAATGTCGCTATTCTCTTGCAAGTGTTAAAATTAAGTGTTAAATATACATTTTAAAACCCATGACATTTGTGTTTCTAGATAGAATAATGGAGTCGCCACATTACCGGTATGTTTAAGGTCTCTAGATTAACTAAGTACTGCGACCGATTGTTCTCATTTTGTCCCAAAATGATTTGATAAATGTCAGTGCATAGATTTAATTTTACAAATATTCCACTGCATATTACTATTGTTAGATTTATTTAAATTTATCTGCCATTAATTAACATTAACATTAAGCAGTTGGATACATACAGGTATACATTATTAATTCTAAATAAAACTAAATTACATCTTAAAATAATTATTTTTGCTATTTTATAGAATGTAATCTTTATATTAAAGATAAACAAACATAAAAGATACAACTGAGAGCTTCCCTACGAGAGTGATTTGAAATGAATATAACAGATGGCGCCCCATTCATTGTTCTAATGAATACTTACAAACATAATATTGAATTGAAGTCTTTGGACCTTACTGAGTTTGTCAATAGATACCCCATTACACTGTATTGGCATGAAAAGTAAATAATTACCGAGTTTTTTGTTCCATTTAGTTATAAGTAAATAAACTGAGTATAATGCTTCTTACCTTAAAGGATGTGCTCTCTCCCAGCTAGGGAACGTGTTAGTGGAGAACCTTGTGTGTACCAATGCTAGGTACGTGTCAT